CGTTTTGCCTGTTACAAACAACCGTTATGTGAACAAAGTTATAATACCCTTGTGCACAAGTGCGCTCGGGTATAAAAAGTGTTTTTCAAAAGCGTTCGCACCTCGATAGGCAATGGGAAACCTCCGGGTATATTTCTGTCATTAAAAAGCTCCTCATAAAATCCCTTTGCCGTTCGGAGGCGGTGTAAAACTGTAGATATTTCCATTTGTATGACAACATCAAGACGCACTCCACAATTTTGAGGAGAAGTACGGCCAAACACTTTTAAGTGCCAAAATAGTATTGATATATTTATATTAAAATTTTAAATTTTTTTTGTCAAAACTTCAGGGACATATAGTAAAATTTATTGAGCATGGTTTTAACTCTTACCATAATGGTTCTTAATTTTATGTTCCACTGTGCCAAAAGGTAAAGTCTGTGTAAATTATTTTATTTTAAGAAGAATTTTTCAAACTAGTTAGATATGTACCTAAGTATGTATATCACTTGAAAAAGGTACATAAGCGTTGGTAGAGTTATGTAAGTAGACTGTCACACTAAAATTTTTTTTACTGAAAAGTCAAATTATTTTAATTATTTTCTCTAAGAAAACTTATATACAGGAATGAGCGCAGGAGAAAGTTGTACTCGTATATATGCCTAAAGCCTCTGGTCAATTTAGCGCAATTAAACACCTATATCAGGGAAACAGTGGGTCCGAAGCTCCCGGCTCCCCCCAACAGGCAATACGTAGACTATTGTTTAACACCGTAAAAACTTTGCGACGCAAATACCATTCTTTGTATATCTTTTTGGACATAAAGAGTGCTTTCAAAAATATTTGTCGGTAAGCAGTCATATCACCGTTGCAGGAACTTGGCCTCGGCTCCACTCTGGTAGCGTCTCCGAATAACCTCTTCAAAGACAGGATTGCAAGTAAACATCTGGGAGATTCCTCTGTCAAAAATTTCCAGTAAATGTGTCACCACAAAAGCTTTTTGAAATAGATAGAAAGAAGTTGGACTGAAGTGATGTCCTACGCCTATTACATTAACATTAAGGCTACGAGAACACATCTATTAAAGTTTCCATCAGGTTAAATTAAAGCTAGAACTCTCGGATACTGTCCCTGAAAATACCATCTCTGCACCTTGACCCGATGTCACTTATAGTCATTTATTGAACAATACAAAAATGACTTTAAGTAACTCTAGGGTAAAGGTGCAGGGATGGTATTCTTAGGGATTATAGTCGAAAGTTCAGGCTTTAATTTAAGCCTAAGTGGAAGATTCTACCACCATTTGCTATTCAAAAAATTACTATAAGTAACCATTGGGTCAAGGTGAAAGAATCGTGTTTTCAGGGATAGTATACGAGGGTTCTAGCTTTAATTCAACCCTTAGTAGAAGGTTCTATCAGGGTTCGGAAATTCTCACTCACATTCTCTCACGTTCGCGATCGATAATATTCCAAGTCTATTTTTGCATTCTTTTATCGCGAGTGAAAAATGCAAACAAATTTATCATCTCTCACATTCGGAATGTGATCGACAAAAAAATTTTCGCTGCTTTTCATTCGCGATCGAAAAAAGCAAAGAAATTTCCTCTCACTCGAATATGAGAAGTCCGAGCATTGCCGATGTCGGCCTCTCATAAATAAGAAAAACGATGCAAATAATCCATTCGCGATCACTCACAACAGCTTATCGCGATAAACTTTTCGCGAAAAATTTTCAACGACGTTGTATGGGAGATATTTTTCGCGTTTGTTTTGGGTATGCATTTTGTTATGCATACAGCGTACATACATATGTACATATGTATATGTAAGTAATGCAAGCAAATGCTTTTCGGTTGGAAGGAATGTGGGAATATGCACAAATATATGAATTATGGTGGAAACATATATGTATGTATCTACATATACATAAATTACGTACATGCATACGTGTAGTTAAAGTATATTCCAAGCGTACACTTTTAAGTATAATGGTGTATCTGCATGTTATTTTATTATAATGATTGCGTTTATTTTTAACCGACTTCCAAAAAAGGAGGAGGTTATCAGTTCGTCGGAATCTTTTTTTTTTTTTTATGTATGTTACCGCATAACTTTGGACCACGTCAACCGATTTCGATAATTCTTTTTGCATCGGAAAGGTAGTGTCTCAGAGGTGGTCCCATACTAATCTGGTTTAGATCCGATCATTGGATCATGAAATATATATATATATATTTTTTTTTTTCATATGAGAATTGAAGTCGGTTATGTTTTTTGCTTAAAAATTACTTGTTTATATCTAATAAATGGAACTTAGTGGGGATAAGATTGACTAATGAGAAAAGTGGGCGTCTGGTGAAGACTGAGAGTAAAGAAAAGCAGAAAAAACAATACATATACATTTTTAATTTATTTTAAATGTTTTGATTCGCCATTATAAGGATATTAATAAGAAACCAAAAATATAAACATGTAAATAGAATAAGAATATGTATGGATGTATTACTAGAAGAAAACTCAATAAAACGAAGGTCTGCATTTCATATCCATGCACACATACATATGTATGTAGATATGTGTGTATCTATGTATATGCATGTACTTATACCGGTAAGAGCATAGTTATTTACTGAACAGTAGCGCAGAATGAGCAAAAATTTTGCAGCAATAATCAAATAATAGCTAAGCGTTGGTTTTACTACGACCTTGCAAAGACGAAAAAAATTTACTTGTGAGCCTTTTAGCCTGAAGTATGTATGTAGATACAATATTGCAGCAGCTTTCTACCTACCTTTTGTTTATTTTCCACTAATAACTAGTATGCTTTAGAAATATTTACGGAAATAGAGCACATGATTTCGTTCATTTTAGAGTTGTAGCAGGTAGTGATTTTTTCTTCAAACTGCATTTCGCTAAGTGCGGAGTTGCGTGGTTTAGTTGGGATTTCCCTGAATACCAGATATTTCGTAAATACGTATGTACGTTCTTCATAAAATTTTATTTTGTAAGAGTTTTGGGTGTGCACCTACATAAATGAGATAAACGATGCGGGTGCTCCATTCGCGATCACTCACAACAGCTTATCCTGAAAACTTTTTAGGGCGTTGTATGGAAGATGTTTTTTCGCTTTTCTAAGGAATTACGCTATAATTGCACGTATACATATACATATGCATTGTTGTCAGTGGTAGAAGTAATATAAGAGTCTTCCCACAGTGTTAATTGCCTATTGCATCGCATTTCTTTTTCGAATCGTATTACAGAGCAGCCTCTTAGATTTTTTTTGGAAAATATAAATCGTATGCTGCGAATGCCGCATTATACTAAAGCCAACCTTTCGACATAAGCTACTATTCCATATGAACACAGATATGTATATAAAAATGAAGCAAATTATTACATCACATTATTTTATCTATTTATTTTCTTCAATTTCTAATTTTGAGAAGTGGAGAATATCAAAATTTAATTTTGTTATCAATAGACTCATTCCGATAAAATTTTCTCCAGTATTCCAGGACATTTGTGTCGAACGGTTCCATTTCTTTTACACAGAGATTAACCAGCTTTTGTTTGATGTCAGGTTTTACGATTGGTCTCGTTGCACTTTGCGATTTTGCCAATGACCTTACGTGAAGCGTTAACTTATGGTACGCCCCTTTCGATGTGCTTGGAAGTTCATTGTCCTGTGTTGTATGTGGTACAACTCCAGAAGTGCAATCATTCTCATATTCTGATGGATTTTTAATTTTCTGGATCATTTCGTAAGTCCTTATTAAGTGATCCTGTAAAAGAATAGGAAAAATTAAAATAACTGGATTAGTATCTCACAATTATAAAGATATAAAAAATTCAAAGTAAACAATAAATTAATTGAACGAAATATAACATCAAGATAATGAATTTTGAAATAAATTTCAGTTGGCTTACCATTGCAACATCCTTTTGCTCAGAGCTGAGGAGAGGTGTTTCTTCAAAATTAAATCTTGGATCTAGATATAGAGCAGCGACGAAAGCCTTATATTCTAAAAGGACATTTTTTCTTATTTTCATCGCATTTAGGAGGGAATCTGCATAAATATTTTCTGGGACCAAGTCTGCAAGCTCTAGTTCGCAAGTAAGCCAATCCCTGAAGAAGTCTCCTATAATATACTGCTCATTTTGAAGTTTTAGGGTGCACTTAGAGATTGGTTGAAAAGCGGTGAGAAAATCCTTAACGAATGACCAATTTATGTACATGTTTTTATCCAAATTTTCAATGTATTCTTTGATTCGGTAAAGTGATTCCATCATATCATACGTAGAGTTCCACCTAGTTCTGTTGTCGATGAATGGCAAACTGATGTCGGTATTTCCTGCTCTTACTAAGGTTCTCAATTTTTTTACAATCGTCCTGCACTCTTCCAAGTCCTTTTCAATTGTTTTTATAACATCATATGCTGCTAGCTGAATAGTATGAGCAGCACAACGAACCACAGAAAACACAGAAGCGATTTGGGACTCAATATGGTCTGCCTCAACATCATTTATAGCATCTTCGTTTGCTAAACTTTCTTGCTGCATATCGTGTAGCAATTTGGACGCTTTAACTACATTTGCGCCGTTGTCAGTGGTATTGGAATAAATTTGGTTTATCCCAATGCCATACTCGTTGAGACATTTCATAATTTCTTCCTTTAAATTTGCAGCTGTATGCCGTTTAGTTGTTTCAATCATTCCTGAAAAAAAAGTAAAGAAGTATGATTGTCGAATACTTATTCATTTAAATGAATATACATATGTATGTATGTGTGTTTATTTATATAAAACGAAACTACTTACCAATTGTATGAACAATGACTTTGTAATCTTTAATGTATTGGATGTTGATCCCCAGCACGCTTCTTTCCATGCGAGTTGCGATGTCAATTTTCATAGATATTATTTTATTTTTTACCGAATGACCTATTTTTTCCTTAATTTGTTGACTTGCTTTGTCAAGAAGGCTTACTATGTTCTTTGAGTTTAAATGTATACCAAACTTCTGCTCGTATGGTGATATAAGTTGCTTAAAATATTCCTCGTCATCAAATATTCGAAAGGGAATATTTTTTTTGGTGACCAGTCCCACGCAGCATCTCAAAAAACTGTCTCTGTCTAAACTAGTACTTAACTTTGACACGGTTTTTCGTTTTTTTGTGGTAGAAGTATTATCATCATCACTTTCATCACTATTTTCTATATCTATTTTGTGTATAAGTTTATAATGTCTTTTAATATTTCCTCGTAATAATCCACTAAGCTCTCTTTTACACGACTCTACAATGCATGTACTTTTCTTGGTAGTTTCATCGTACTTAACGTAATTTTGCAAATCAGTTTTTTTCCTTCCCATTGTCTCTTCTCAATATTGTTATATCGTTTATTTATTTAAATAGTCGCTACTAAGCACTGTATAACACTCCTCTCTACCGATGTTGGATAAATAAATGTGTTCGCCCTCTTATATATGTATATCCGACAAGCACATTCCATAATTTACTGGAAAAGATTTTCCATTACTTCTACCTCTGACAACAATGCATATGTATATGTATACGTGCAATTATAGCGTAAT